GTGGGGCGGGAGATGCCACATCGCTCCGGGGGCTGCCGTTGGGTAGGAGTCTGCGTTCACCCCTGTTTCCCCGTACAGAGCAAACCCCGGCGCACAGGGACCAACCGCCAGTTTGCTGAGCCCAGCCCTGACAGTGACCCAGGCTCTGCTGCCCAGCATCCCCCCGCACAACCAGGTTTCTCCGCATCATCCTCATCACCTCCCCACCTGGGAGAGGGGCAAACCCAACCCAGGAGAAAACCAAACTCTACCCCCCGGGCCCGGCCACCCTTCTCTTTGCTCCCGCTGACTCTGCCCACCCCAGAGGGTTTCTGCCTGCACTGGTGCCATCTGGCCAGGCTGGTTGGCACCCATGCAGGGGTTATTGCCCACGGTGGGTGGCACAACCCATGGCCAGGGAGCACTGAAGGGTGCACAGCTGGAGACAGCAGTGGCACAGGCTCGGGCAGGCGGCAGAGCTCTGCCCACTGTCCCTGCCAGGGAAAATTTACCCTCTTGGTTTTCCCCCACCCTGTGTCATGGGTGGACAAGAGGAACCCCCACCCTGGTGCACACACACCCCGTCAGCTGCTTGGGCACCTTGAGCCCAAGGACACCTTCCGAGGGGGGGCCAATAAGGAAGTTTCTGTTTGGTACCACGTGCCCCCGGAGACCTTTTGGCCTCATAACTGTTAGGTTTTGGGGTGCTGCCAGGCACCCCAGGGTGCCAGTCTGGGGGAATCAGGCAAGTCTAAGGTTTATAAGGTACAAAGGTGCCTGGTGGCACCCACATGGGTTGGTGGGGACGGGTTGTGGGCTGGTGTGTCCTGGGGCTGGTGAGGGACCAGCTGGGATTGGGGTCTCCTCTGGGGAGCCGCAAAGCTCCGGTGGTGCTTGGGCAGTGGGAAGCGGAGGGCAGGGGCACAGTGGGAGCACAGCACCAGCCTGGCTTACCCCCTCCCCGCCCCGCTGCTGCCCTTTCGGCTGCCAGGGGAGCCGAGAGCCCAGAAGGGCAATGGGGAGGTATCGCATCCGGGAGGAGAAACTGGTCCTTCGAGTTTCCCCAGCAGGTGGAGGGGAGAAACCAAGGCAATGTTTGCAGGGTTATTGCCAAAACTCAGCACCACAGGAACGGCCTGCCCTGTCCCGGAGAAACCCCACGGCCGGGAAGAGGTGTGAAGCTGGGGGCCTCCGGCCAGCCAGGGATTGCCCCCAAGCCCGCTCCACCCCACAGGGGTGACGGCGAGAGGGTGTTTGTTTGCCAGGAGCTGGCTTTGCAAGGCAGCCCCAAACCGAGGGAGCAGAGGAGGACGTGGCTGGGCCAGGTGTGGCCGGCTCGGTGCCAACCAGCTCCTGGGCACCTCGGGAAGGGCTTTGGGCAGTGCCAGACTCCAGGCAGCTCCTGCATACCCGGAGAGGGAAAAGAGGAATAAAAGCCTTGACGTCACCCATGAGGTCATGGGTTTGTGGTGGAACCAGGACCTTCACCTGTCCAGCAAGGAGGAGGAGGAAGAGGAGGCCATTTTCTGGTAGCTTCTCCCCACGCCTTGCCATGGGGCAGGGCCAGAACCCACGTCCCCAGGGCTGAGTCACCCAGGGTGGGGAGCGGGTATCCGCACCCATCCTGCTGCCACCTGGCTGCTCCGGCCAGCGTGCTGGGTGCTGGATGGTGCCAGGGAGATGCTGGACCCTGAGGGGCCGCGGCAGTGCCCCAGTGCAGCCCCGTACCCGGTGCAGGAGGTGATAAGGGGGTGCCATGGCAGGCACGGAGCAAGGCCACACACAGAGAGGCTGTTTGCATACTGGCCTCCTCCCCCACTGCTAATCGCCCCGTCCTTCACCGCCACCACCCCACAGCCCTCGTGCTCTGCCCCACAACCAAGGAGCTTGGGACCCTCATGTCAAAAATGGGGTGAAGCAGCTCTTGACAACACCCCCCCCCAGAAAACACCTGCCTTAGCCTTGCTTTTGAAATGGGGAAACTGAGGCACTGCAAGTGGATGATCAAAGTGGGGTGGTGCCAAAGGCAGGGAGGGAGCGATGCTGGGGAAAGAGGGTGTCTGGAAACCCACCCACAACACCCCCCCCATCCCCACACGTAGAGGGACTGTGGGTGCATCACATGGGCAGTGTGGGACAACACTGGGGGACGGAGATGCTCAGAGATGGAGCTGGCAGGACCCGCTCCCCCTCCCCATTTCAGGTTCCTGGGGCTGATGGGGACACAGGCACCAGTACAAACCCCCCCGAG